CCCGATCTGTGATGAATGCGGTCTTCTCGCTATCGTCCGAATTCATCAGAATCTGATTATATCCCGAAAATGCATCCATGAAGGAGAGTAGTCCGTTGCCCGCGGTAGCCTCGACGAGCTGATCGATACGAGGAATAGGGAAACTGTCTTTCGGGCAAGCTTTGTTGAGGTCGGTGAAATTCACGCAGACTCGCCACTTGCCGTTTTTCTTCTTGACTACCACCGGGTTAGCGAGCCACTCTGGGTACTTTACTTCGGCGATTGATCCGGCCTTCAGCAGTTTATCGACTTCATCGTGAATGGCTTGTGCTCGCTCGGGTCCTAACTTCCGTTGCTTCTGCTTGATCGGCTTGAAAGTGGGGTCGACGTTCAACTCGTGATTCGTTATTCGAGGGCTAATACCCTTCATGTCGGTCATGGACCACGCAAATGTTGCGACGTTTTCTTGGAGGAAACTGATCAGCTCGTCCTACATGCTTGGCAACAGTTCCGTGCCGATACCGACGTAACGTTCCGGATGAGCAGCATCGATGTTGATTTGGGCGATAAGATCACTCTTTGGCTTCTCGTCGTGATGAACAATCAGTGGATCGAAGTCGCTGCTACTGACAATCACGAACGTCGATGCTCTGCAGGCGCGCTTGTTGTCGATGTAAGAGCATCACCATCGGTTATATACCCCCTTAAAGTATCTTAAAAATATAATAATAATATAATTTATTTATATTATTAAATTTAAAGCTATTGAAAAAAAGAACCATTTATTAAATGACAAGTGGCTACAAACTTGCTAAGAGACGGTTGTGCATTTTCTCCTATCTTTTTATTTTTTATAATATTTCTTATCTAAAAACTTTGTTAAGAGACGCCCGATGAGGATGGTCTAACAATGTAGGGACACTGTTTGATCGCCACAGATGGTGATGACACGGCCCCTGATCGGTATTTTGATGCATTGGTGGTAAGAAGAAGGGACGGCCCGCATGGCGTTCAGCCATGATGTTCCAAAGATGGCATTATAGATCGCAGGTCGGTCGATAACCTCGAACTTGACCGTAATTGACTTCCCGCGTATGGTGACAGGCATCGTTATAGTTCCTATCGTTGAGATCGAGTCTCCAGCGAATCCGGTGAGGAGTGATGGTGCGACTTTGATATCCCGCTCGGGGATACTCATTTTGCGTAGAGTATCCATGAAGATGAGGTCGACCGAACTTCCAGTGTCGATCAATACTTTGGAGACGTCGTCTTCTCCAAGCCGTAATGAGATGACGAGCGGATCGTTATGAGGTCGGTCGATATCTTGCGCGTCTTGCTCTGTGAATGTGATCGGTAGGTCGTCCTTGAACAGCGGTGGGGCGTCCTTCGGGGGGTTGGCTTCTTTCCGTTCGTGCCGTTTAATCGAATTGATCGAATCGGTACACGAGAGAAGCCCTCCCATGATCATGTTGATCCTCCGACGTGGTGAGCTCGGAGGTGTGTGATCGTCTTCACGGTCACGCTTTGCTTCTTTGCCCTCGCGTTTGGAAGATGGGCGATCGGCGTTATCTCTTCTATCCCGATCGTCACCGGCTCTTCTATCTCGATCGCCATCGGGTCGTCTGTCCTCATCGTTGGATCGCCGTGAACTTCGGGGCTCTGGTAGGGTTATCTCACCATCATCCCACACCTTCCTCAAAAGGGCTGGGAGGGTGCGGTAGTCATCGGTATGATGACCGTGTGCTCTATGGTATTTACACCACGGTTTCTTGCTGTCGGGGTCTCTGTCGCTCGAACGGTCCCAAATGTTCTATGGCTTTTTTGGTCGTCCAAATGCGTTGATGCTCTTGCGATTCTTGTCATCCTTGTCGTAGTGCTGACGGGGCTCTTTGTAATCGTCCTGACTCGACGATCTGCCTTTCTTGTCGCGTGAAGATTTCTCGTTGGCTAACTTGGCTTTGGCCTTGGCTGCCCGATCCTCCTCGACTCTGATGTAGCCGGTTGCCTTGTGTAAAGCATCTTCGAGGGTTTTGCTCTTTCCTGTCTTCAATCGCTCACAGTACGACGAATCTCAAATTCTTGATAAGGATGTTGAGGGATAGTTTGTCCGACAGACTGCACCGGGAGACGATCGATCAGAACCGATCGATAAAATCGTACAGCGGCTCTGTGTCGCCCTGGACGCACGCCCATATATCGAGCGCTGTGGACTCCGTGTCGATGTAAATCAAATAATGCTTCAGGAACCGAGCTGTGAGCTCCTTGTAGCTATCGATGGAGTTCTTGGGAAGCTGCGAGAACCAGGTGAGGGCGCTTTCGGAGAGCGTCTCCACGAAGTACTAACAAAGGCATGCTTCCCGCTCCTCATCCGTGAAGCAAGCACGTCCCATGACTGCGTTGAATGCGGTCAGGTGTCGTTTCGGGTCTGTCGTACCGGTGTAGCTTGGAGGTAGCTTCATCCGACCTATGTCCTTGAGAGGAGCATTGGTGATGGCCGACGTGAACGGGGTCTACTAGGTCTCCTGGAGGATCTTATCCAACTCTGGTGCTGAGGTCGTTGCCTTGTGGATCTTGCTGTGGATATCGTCAAGGCGTTGGTGGAGAAGATCAAGTTCCGAGGCCGTCGTCGGGTTGGTACCTGCGGTATTGCGAGATGAACGAGCGTTCGAGCCTTCTGCCTGTGCTCTCCGCAGGTCGTCTGTCGGTGTCGTGCCGAACAGGTTGTTGACCAGCCTGGTCGTATCTGTGTTGCGGATCGGAGGGCGAGGGAGAGTGATTAGATTGGCCTGCTCTTGGGTATGAACCCTAGAGTTGAGAAGCCGTTCTAGGTCTTCTCTGTAAACGATCTGCTCGGCACAGAGGGATTCGAAGCGAGCATCCATCCCCTGTTGCAACTGTGCTGCGACCGACCTGATGATGGTGGCCATGTCGATGGGAGGTGGCTGTGGCAGGCCGGTTGTGTTTGTGCCACCCGTCTGGCCGACCTGATCTGTCCCACCGATGTTCTGCGCGGTAGTTGTGTTATCTTCCTGATTGGTCTCGTGGACCACTGGAAGCCCGGTGGCTGGATCGACGATCGGATCTTGAGTGTTTCTTGTCGGATCGGAGGCTCCTCCTGTGAGGTCGGTATTGTTGATCGGTGTTTCAACCATCTTCAAACTCCGTTCTAAGTTAAAGATTGCTCTCTTATTCCCCACAGACGGCGCCAACTGTAAAAACTCAAGTTCGACTTATAGAAGAACTAGGGTTTGTAGGTTCAAAGAGAGATCTTTTATTAGAAGAAGCCGGAGCTTGATAGAATACAACGGTGTTTTAGGTCGTCGGAATAAGAACGCCGACCTAGAACTCTTTAAGGAAAGTAAATCAAAAGCTAGAACAATCTGATTGCTTAGTTTGCTCTAGATCTTGATCAATGATTTTCAGATGATTTGAGGAGTCGGGGACTTCCTATATATATAGCTGACCAGGTCGATCTTCAACGTGTTTAGAATAGGAAAGTCTTCTTGCCGACAAGAAAGAATTTCCTTTTTTCCCAAGTCGCTCGATAAATGGAAGATTTCCATTTAGAGTGCCGACCTGAAACTTGTTAGACGGGCCGACCAGAATTCATATCGCTCAAGCTCTTGTTTTAACAACAGCCAAACTTGTTAAAACAAGAGCTTGAGCGAATACATGCATAATCATTAGCAAAATTCATGATTTATAGAACAGAATAAAAAACAAAAGAGGGGTTTCGAGTTCATACATCTCCATCGCCGGAATCACTTATCTCCATTAGAGCTAGATCAAAACCGAACCCTCGAAAATCACGAACCATGTGAAAGAATCGAGAGTTTGAAGAGTTCTTGTTTGGAGAGATCGATAGAGATCAAAAACCAAAAATTTCCTATTATCCACAAATCTCTTGTTTTGATAGAGAGAAGAGAAGATTGTTTTTTTGGGGTTAAGATTAACCATTCAACCACAAATTGACACGTAAAGGTTTTTTTATCAGTTTTAAAAGTTGTTAATTAATAACCGACTCTTAAGAAACAAGCGTATATCTCAATTATTTATTTATTTTTTAATTTTAAAAAACTGTTAAAAAACTAATAAGAATCACTGATGGAGGTGTTTTTAGAACATCTCCAACGGTGAATGCCTAAAATAACGTATCTCATTAATATTTTATTAATATATTTTGAAAATTAAATTAAAAATTTAAATATAAATAAATTCAGCAAATTATTAATTGACATATCTTTAGATACCGGTTCTAAAATAAAAAAAGAGACGTCTCTCTCTCTTTCCTCTCCTATTAGTAAAGTATGTAGATTAAAGAATATTTTTATTTTACTAAATTTTATAATTGAATTAAATTTTAATTTTTAACCATTTATTGATCAATAAGTATCACTTACTGTATTTAAGAGTCTCTAAAGTTTTTTCATTTGAGAAACATATCTCTCTTTCCCTTCTACCTTTTCTATTTTTTCTTTTTTTATATTCTTTAAATACCCATCAAATTTTTGATTTTGTATTTAGATACAATATCCAAATGCTAGTTTAAAAGTGTCAAAAAAAAAATATTTAAGTATTTGCATCTAAATACAAGTGCTTAAAACATTTTTTTTTAAATATAATTTCAGACTTTCCTAAATTATATAACTCTACAGTTAAAATTTCACAACAACCACAGCAGAAATGTAAAGATACCGCTGTTATGAATCATGCCAATCTAGACTCTCCTAAACTAACCTGAAATATCCTGATATATGCATTCGGCAGGCTATAATAGCTATAATAGCTATTTTAGTCTCAAAATTCTTGAATAATATTGGAGTCTTCTAATTAATTGTCAGTCATCCGATTCGCATATTTTTGAAGATTCTTTAGTAATATGCGAATCTCCTACATATATATAATAAGCCATACGGAGAGAATTCCCTACGCTACAAAAACATATGATATAATAATTCTTTGATTATTCACCAAAAACATCTGAATTCCAAAACAAAATTCTTTTCAAAATCCTCTAAAAAATGAGGATACTAAAACAAACCAAAGTGATGTTTTTCTTGTTAGCTCTGATATCGGCATCGTTTTTCAGACACTCTGAAGCACATACGAAACAATGCTCGACCGTCGCGATAGATAACGTGCCGGGATGTTTTGATGCGATAAAAGCAGCGTCAAATGGAGATGGAAGATTGTTGAAAAGTAGTGGAAGTTGTTGCACAGCAATAAGATCAACACTTCCTAAGCTTTGCTACTTCGATGTTTATCCTGGCAAAAGTTGGGCTATTGACTACTTCCAAACCATTTGTAAATATTTGTTCCCTCCTGCCTAGGATCAAGTTTATGGATTTTTTGTAACTTTAAACGATAAAATAAGAGTAAATCAAAATTACTTTTAAAATTATATTGCGTCATTCAAATCAACATGGTTCTTCTTCTCATCTGCAAATTGAAATTTCATTATCATCCGATTTCTACTACATCGAAAGTCCATAACTTGTTGCAACGTTTCACGAAATAACCTCTCTGCTTCAGCCTTCATCTCCTCACTTCCTTTCAACATTATCTCCCTGATCGAATTTCTCATTTTCCTCATTTTCGGTGTCCTACATTTAGCCAATGTGGTTTAGATTTTCTGTTGAAGAAACTTTTCTTCTAGATTCGCCAAGTGTTGCACTTTCGTGTCACTTGGTGATGGATTGTTTAGATCAGAGCAGTCGCCTGCTGGCTGCTCCGAAAATATACTATACGAACTTGTGGATAATGTCTTAGCCACTCAGCATTAATCAATACTCGATTCAGCTTTTTGCAAATCAAAATGCATTCAAATGTAGCATGCGACGTAATATACGTGATTCATGCGTGGCATCTTTCGTTTTCATCGTGAATAAGTCAATACGAATATCTTTAATCAATACGGTTGTCACAATTATCAGTCTTATGAAAGCCAATATTTTTTTTTTTCCGTTTTATTGTTTAGAACCATATCCCCCCTTCCACCGGATCCCGCACGAAGAGAAAACCGGCCAGGAGAGATGATTGTTAGGAAGCAAATCAAATGTATTAGGTCTTGAGTGTATTAGGTTTTAAATGCACATTCAGTATGGAGTGTGGAGCCAAAATCAATGCATTTGTAAAACCAACTCACAAACAATATGTAGAATTGACGTGTTTCTCACCGTAACATAAGGTAAGAGGATGGTCATCGCATTTGAAGCATAAAGTGACGCCAACACAATCATATTCACCGTTACAACGTAAATGTAGCGTACGAACCAAGCCTTCACACCTCTTTCGGCCAACATATGCGAACAACATATGGATGGCTTTCATGCTTGAATGTCAGAAATTGAAGCACACCGCACATCAATTGATGTGTTGAAAGCAAGAGTATATGAAAATGTGCTGAAACGAGCAATATATGAGTAACCTGTGCAATAACATTGACAAACATGACAATGAAAATAGTTTTCAAGGTTCTCGTAATGTTGATTATAGCCATGCGGATTGGCACACAAGGTAAGTTTTTCTATACTTATCATGTTTCTTTTCTTTCGAGGGAGATTAGCGCATGCATCGTAAAGTATGAAATCGTACCTACGTAACACATTTCGGAGTTAAGAGGAAAGGTGCATGCGTAGCAGTGTTTATCTTCTTCGAGTCCTAGTGAAACCTTCAGATTGTGCTCATGGCTAAAATGTTTTATAAGGTTTTGATCTATCATTTCGAATGGCTCATTGGCTTGCTTTCTTTATCTTTATCTTCTTCGGATATCCCATCGAGTTCTCTCCCATCCCAAATGTTGGAACTTGTTGCACATTTAGAATGAACAACATAAAAGCAAGTCAAGCAAGAAAATGCTCCACGCTCTCCATTTACAGGCTCACAACATACCCCAAAAATTCACTTCCCAAGGCCAAGAGAGGAAACACGAGAGATTGGTGGTCGTGGCGATTGATGTGTATAACACATGGTAGGGAGTGTAACGAAAACACACCAATAGTGCTTAGCACTAGCCCAAAACCATAATACCCAAGAGACTCCAAAGAAACAAAAACTCTTTAAGTATGAATAAAGAGGTAGAAGAACACTTAAAAAAAAACTTGAAAAAATTTTAGAGAGAATAACATAATTTATGAAAAACACTTTTTGTTTATTTGTTCAACTTCTCATATATTTATAAATGATGGAAGATTGGGCTATTTATATGTTCCACTTGTTACAAAATATCTACAGACATTCTACCAATTTCTAGAATTATCTACCATATTATATAGCTAACTCTTTCATAATATCTAGATTTTCTATACAAATATCTAGGTGGGGTATATTGGATTAGTGATTTGGGATGATTTCATTTTTTTTACCAAAACTCTTCTTATTGAATTTAGCATTTGAAAAAGTTACTTAAAATTCAAGGTTATTGGATTAGTCATTTATACAAATTCTTTAAAATTTTGCTATATTGGAAAATTGGGATTTCATTAATAAATTATTTTAGCAAATGATTTGGGATGATTTGGGATGATTTGAGAAGTAATTTAGAGATAAAAACCAATAGATTGAAATACCACCTAATATGATGGTATTTGAGAGAATTTAAAAGGCAATATTTGTTTAAATCATTTTAAAATTTTAAATTCATTAAAATCTTCATAAATTTGGATTTATCCAAATTACTAATCCAATATGCCCCTCTAGATAATTTCTAACAGGATTCTCTAGAGAATTTCTGGAACTTGGACCTAATTTTGGGTTTAATCCAATAAGAAATAATTATCTTATGAACCCAAAATCAAATTTAACTCCAATAAATAAATACATTTTCTGGAGTATGAACTATGAAACAGCATTGATAACAAATACTAGGGTGGTCTGAACTGCGCAACACACATGCATCACAAGTAAAGGAGAGATATATCGGTACCTGGTGGAGTTCATCCTCGTGGGCCTTACTTTGGTTAAAGATCAGAGCTATTCTCGCACTGTCGCACAATTGAAACATATAGGAAAAGAACATTGTGAACAATAATGAAACGCCAGATTATAAAAAGAGTCGTGTACAAAGCTCATTTCACATAGAAAACATGATTTTACCTTGCCATCTAATTGATAATACCTTGTGAACTTGAGAGGGTGTTTATGATGCGAAGGAATGTTGACGTTGATGCATTCCTCGTGAACATAAAAATTGCATAAACTATAGTTGTAGCTATAGAGGTAGCCTCGCTTGTGACCATCTCCAAAATGCGCCTTGGAGCATGCATAGCATTCTAATGAGACTTCTACAAACCGTAGAGGATAAGAAGGATGACGAGGGGCGTAGTATCACATCCATTTTATCTTTCTAGGAAAAAGTTTATGATTCTGTTTTTATTTTTCTATATTTTCATAGGATATTAAAAGAGTGATTTTCTTTGTGGATCCTGGTCGGTAGCTTGGTTGGTTTCTTTTGCTATTTTTGTGTGTTTTGTTTGGTATATTCCGATTTATAGTAAATATGAAAAAGTGTTTTTGATGTCTTCTTGTGAGTTTTTCTCAATGGATTTGGGAAAATAAAAGCTCCTGTTCATGTGAGCTGTTTTCAGAAAGAGGAAGATCTGACAATAACTGTTTGGTAACTGACAAACTTAAAAGTGGATGGTGGCAACAGTTCTTCTCGGCTTTCGACGTTGATGGTGTGGATGTTGGTCCAACTCATAAGGCAGGCATTTGGACTTTTGGCTTAAGGCCCAAAGACGCAGAAGAGCAAACCTGTTGGGTCGGTGTTATTCGTTGGTGGCCCAGCTGCAAGGTTGTTATAAGTGGATAAGGAAGAGAGAGTGAATCTGTTACCGAGTGATCATCTTCTTCACTCGGTCTCTTTCTTGCTTTCTCCATTATTGTAGCTCTTGAGCTTTGTAACCAGAAACACAGAAAATAGTGAATTCCAGGTTAGCTCATAAAGAGAGATGTATCTACATTTGTAGGAAACTCTATAAGTCTTAACTGTTTACGTAATCTAGAAGTAAACACACGAGTGATTGAGAGAGAGAGTTCTGATTCATACCTGAATCCGTGAGTAAATTGCGATCGTATTGGCTACAAGTAGTATCAGAACGTTAGGTTCGATGCGGAGGTGATACATCAGACAATTCACAGATCGATCAAGAAGAAAGGAGATTGGGACCAAACGCAACGGGGGACAACGAAGATCGCGACCTTCACAGAACAATAGTGGAGTCAACGCGAGTCATCGTTAACCAGGATCAAGTGAGTTTCATCCTAGATCTCAGGGAGGTTTCTCAGTTCTAAATTCCTCCATATCCATTAGCTAGAATCTTCTCATCATACTGTTTGAATATTCTCGAGCGGGTGTAGGATCTTGGACTGTTGATTGCTATTCATGCGTTGTTTGTTTATAGACAAATAACCAGAAGATCAATCAACAATGGAACCTACTCATGGAAAGTTCAAGATGGAGAAGTTTGACAGAAAAGGAGACTTCGGCATGTGGAAATACAGATTTCTCGGTCAGTTGGAGATACAGGGCTTGGGGTCAGTCTTGAAGGAGACGACATCTACATCAGAGTCATCCCGCTCAAGAGACAGTTTCACAATCAGGCGTTGCAACACTAGGGACAGCAGTGTCAGGAGTTACACTGGGAGATGCAAGATCCGGCCTTGCATCCGTCGTGAGAGACCTGAGAATGGATCCAAGAGAAGCGGATAAAGATTTGAAAGTCAGAAACTTGTTGGGGACATGCCTTACTGACTCAATCTTAAGAAAGATCATGCATGAGCCTTCTACGATGGGAATGTGGAAAGTGTTAGATAGCGACTACCAAACTAAGTCTCTTCCTAATCGTATATACCTAAAGCAGAGCTTTGCTGGATTCAAGATGGATGAGAATCGTACCATTGAAGAGAACTATGATACGTTTCAGAGACTCATTGCTGATCTTGCTAGTTTGAAGATCATCATAAGGGAAGTGGATCTAGCAATTCAGCTTCTGACCAGCCTTCCACCGCCATATGAACCTTTGGTTCACACTCTGAAATATGGTACAGGAAAGGAGAGACTAACAATGAGTGAGGTTACTGCATCAGCGTATGCTAAGGAAGTAGAGCTGAGACAGAAGAGCTTATTGAACAAGCCAAGGCAGTCATCAGAATGGCTCTATGTGAGGAAAGAAGCAGACCTGAAAAGAGGAGTGAAAACAATTCAAATAACAGTAGAGGCAGGAGCAAAGGTAACAACAACAGAGGAAGGTCTAAGTCTAAGAGCAAATTTGGACCTAAAGCTTGCTGGACATGTGGAGATGATAATCACTGTAAGAAGGATTGTCCACAGAGAAAAAAGAATGACAAACACAAGTCGTCTAGTTCAGCTAATGTGGCAGTCATCCTACCATAAGCTATTGCACTAACAGCAAGTGTACATGCTACAGAAAACGAATAGATCCTTGACTCAGGATGTACATTTCATATAACACCTAGGAGGGGAACTACTACAGAGTTTGTGGAATCAGAAGGGGCTAAAGTGCTGATGGGAAATAACACCTACTGTATGGTTAAAGGCAGTGGCAATATCACAATAGATAATCGAGATGGCACTGTGATTACTCTAACAAATGTGAGATATATGCCAGATATGGAAAGGAATCTTATCTCGTATGGTCAACTTGAGCAGTCAGAGTGTAAGTACAGTGGAAATGACTTCATTGTGCATTTCTACAAAGGGGGCATAAAGGTTTTGTCAGGAAAGTACGACCAGGGTTTGTATTATCTACAGGGAACAGTAAGAGAATCTTAGGCTAATGTGACTAGATCACCTGTGGATATGACGAAGCGTTGGCACTTTAGGTTAGCACACATGAGTCAGTACTCCATGTATGTCTTTGAGAAACCCTTCCACAAAAATTTATTCGCAATTCTCTAAAAAAAAGGAGAAAAGTTTTACTTGCATGTGGTTGGCGTTCCTATATGTTATGTCACAGCTATGTCTATCAATAAAGTGTTTCACCACAAAAAAAGTCAGAATCGCCAAGCTTGGTTGCCCTCATCATCCAACTGCATTTCTCATCCACACAACGTAATATTGCCCTTGACTTGTCTGAATAACGAGTTCTGAATTCAAATTTCCTGTCAAGTACATACTTCCTCATCTTCTGCATTAGCTCTTCTTTATTCTTGGAGTATTGGTTCACATGAAGATCGTTGCTTCCTGCATTCGAAACTGATAATACTAAAAGAACTGGATGAACATTTACAGCAGGAAGCAAATCACTAAAATAGTTTCCTTTTTCAGCAGTAGAGCATGTGTCCTCATTAGCTTCAGTAACTGAAATGTTGCTCTCAACTGGTCTATACAATTCCTGAAAAGGCGTAATAGTAACTCCCATTTTAGAAAGAATTTCCAAATAATACTTAGTTTGGTTGTACTTGCTACTTTAATGAAAAGGGGAAAAAGCGCACAAGTGAAAATGTTGCAGAAAGACCTTCCTAAATAGAAATCATACAAGCAGAAAAAGTTACCGGTTCAGTTTGATTATACGTGGTAGTTGAATGATTGTTGCTACCAATAGCCTAAAGACAATGTTAGATCAATTAGAATTAGAAAAGAAACAAAAAGAAACGCATATTTAGGAAGCGCTTCCACATTAAGAATCAAGTAAGAGCTGTTTTAGGAATCAGTTCCGGAAACGCTTCCTAAAATCATATAAATAGAGAGGTTACTTGTTCGGTTTGGTTATATGTTGTATATGAATGAGTGTTGCTACCATTAGCCTAAGACAATTTACAGAAACTAAAATTGGAAATCATACAAAGAAAAAAAACGCATATTTTGGAAGCGCTTCAACATTAGAAATCAAATGCGAGCTGTTTAGGAATCATTTTCGGAAGCGCTTCCTAAAAACTCATGAATACTGAGAATCGAAAATCATATAAACAGAAAGGTTACTTGTTCAGTTTGGTTGTACGTTGTATATGAATGAGTGTTGCTAGCACTAACCTAAGACAATGTACAGTAATTAGAACTGAAAAAAAAAACAAAACAAACATGTACAAAAATCTAGGAAAAAAATAAATCTTATCTGCTCCAAAAGGTAAAATAAACATTGTTACCTGTTGTGTTTGCTTGTTTGCTGTATTTGATTGAATGTTGTTGGCAAAATTCTGATAACCGAAATGATTTCCTACACCATTCTCCTATGAAAATGCAAAAGTTGTAAAAATCACCGAATATTAAGTATGAACATGAACTTGTAAAATTATATTTCTTGCATAACAGATGCTTACCTATTGCATTTGGCTACTAATCATTGTATACAAACAAACATTTTCTGAAATTCCCTTCACCTTGTTGATGAAGCTTTTGACTTGGCGATCATTATACAATTGAAGTGGAAAATCACGTACCACACTTCCCGTTGTAAGGGAAACTCTGTATGTGAGAGTAATTTCACCTACATCAACCATTCCTAGATCTTCCTTCACAAGCTGAATAAGATCCTTGAAAGTGATATCTTCATCAACAAGAGACATTGATCCCCTTTTGCTAATATCTACTTCAAATCCCATTCCTAATTCTCTCAAAATTTCCACTCACCACAAACAACATATATCTCCACCATATCGCTGTAAATTAGAAAATAAAACACACAACTCAATATTTGTGTATGATTATACTAAAACAACAAGCCAACATGCATACAAGTCGATTCAGGAACACTAGCGAAACTTTAGGAAGGTATGCATGTACCTTCCTGGAATGCTCAAAAATGTCGTCGTTGTTGATGGATTCTGATTGTAGTTGACGGTGAAGCTCGAAGCTCACCTATTGTCGCCGGAGATGAATCGCGAAACTCTCTTCGTCGTCAATCATGGCCAATTGTCGCCAGTGAAGCTGGGCGATGGTCGGAGTTCGTCGATTCTCTAGTTGTTGGGGCTGGGCAATTTTCCTCGTCGTCTTTTGTCGCCGATGATCAGAATTCGACGATTCTCCTATTTGGCCTTCTCATCGTGGTCGATTATGAAGAAGATCAAAACTCTCCGCCGAAAATTAGAAAAGATCGAGAATTCAAAAAAAAAAAAAATCAGAACTCTTCGTTATTAAACAAGAGCAATTTCATCACTCTCAAATGAGAAATGTTATATAAATAAAAAATTTTAGCGTACAATGTATATGCAGAATATAAATTTAAAATATGTGTATTAGAGGTCATTTTTCTAGTAATCCTTAAAAAATATTTTTAAAGTTTACGCTATTTTTGGGAAAATGTCAATGTTAACTATTATTTGAGAAGCATGTTTAACGAAAAAATCTGATGTATCATTACCTCAGCATAAGTTAGTGCAAAACAATGCCGCTTCATAAATGTGACATGGCAAAATTTTTAAAATAAATGAAATTTTTTTATTGGTAAAGTTAAAACTAAATAAGTCTTATTTTTAATAAGAAAAGTTTATATTATGTATGAATGAATTCTTAGTATATAGCAAGAATTTGAAATTATAAATAAAACAAAAAAATAAACGGATAGAAAAATAAATTATAAGTATCCTGTTAGCAAACTTTTTTATTATAATATTGTATATATGAATTAAAAGTAGAAGTAAAAGTAAAAATAATTTTTTACTATTTTGGTTTATGTAAAAATCTCAGGCTATATTTTTTGTTTAAAGCATCTTCAACCCACTATTATTTTAAATCTTCTAATATAGGGGAAAAAGAAAGATTGTTTTTTTTCCAATTATGGAGGAAAAAATAACAACTTTTTTTCCTGTAAAATAAAAATAGGTTAGAGAGAAGTCCATTTATATTTTAAAGAAAAAAAATAAAAAAAAATACATTGGAGATGATCTTAATGTTTAATATATTATTAAATAATAACAAAAAAGTATGAGTCAAAGAAGACAAAAAAATAAATAAGAATAATTTTGATCGATTTTAAATTTTTATTTTAAATATTTAAAAATATTATCTTACACATATTAATTCTTTAATGCATATATTTTTCTAACATATTAAAATATTATTTCATGAATCAAGTTCTGTATATGTTGTGGTACATTATATTTTATATTAACAAATATATTAAAGTTAGGAACTGAACAACTCTTAATTTTTAATAACAATCAAATATTAAATATATTATTTTACACCTTAAATGATATACATATAAGTTTAGATCTGATTGGTTTAAACGATTTGATTACAGAGAGTTTGTAAAAGCGAACGATTGCTGATTATAAAAAAATTGACAAAGAGATGAACGGAGAGCTACCAGAGAATTTTATAAAATATGATTTCACAAATTTTATAATAAATTTTTATTATATTTTTATTGAGAAACCATATATCATCAAACGCTGAAAAATAAGAACTTTGATTAAATACAAAACAATAGGAATGGTTTTCGTGATTGTTGTTAAACATCAATAACTGCATCGTCTGAAAACATAATGTTTGCGGAAAATACCATAAAAAACTTACCAACACCTAAATATTATAATCCATTTGTTTCTAACTCATACATACATGCATAAATATACTTATTATTTTTTTAAAAAAAATCAACCATACATTATAAAAATATATATTACAAAACATATACTTTGTTATTTTCATTTAAAACAAAAAACCCATACTTTGATTTTCTTACAAATATGCGTGTAGATATATATTTTAATTGTACAAAACTCAAACTCGAATGCAAACTTGTCGTGCATACATTCCGTTAACCTCGATTACATTCTAATTTAATTTTAATTATTAGATAATTTATAATTTTTTAAAAAATCTTAATATTCGTGCGTACCAACCACCTCACCGCTCTTAGGATAGATAAATATGGTATAATTTATTTTGGTTTAATTAGCAATAGGTCAAAAAAAATATATACTTAAAATATATATACTGGCAAGATTATATTATATAAGATAATATTCAAAACAAATTATAATAATTTAATTATTATTTAATATAACTTTTATATTTGCAATTATATATTACTGTAAATGCTAGGAAAAATAAAAATTTCTCAAAAGACATAAAACGATATGAAACGTTTGTGTGATTGTTTTTGAACACTAAAATTGTATATATATTTTAAATATGGAAATACTATTGACAATCTCAGTAAATTAACAAACCATCTTTATTACTACCAGATTATAGTTGAAGAAAGTTAATGTATTTTAAAATTTAAAAGATATGGAAATTTGTTTTTAAATGTATTTTGACGAGTATCGCAATCTATTTAATGAAACATGTTTCACATAATCTATTTAATGGAAGAAACTTCACAGTAATACATCAAAAGTTAATAGAGCCCCACCAAAAAAATGAAGATGTCGAGTATGATCAAGATAACAATGATGATGGGATTGGTAGTAGTTGGCGTGGGAGCAAAGACTGTGACTGAGTGTCAAGAAACAGACCGTCTGTCCCATTGTCAAAACATTAACAATATGGCTTGTACTCGTTGTGTCTTTGAATGTGCTTCTCCTCCATCTTTTCAGTATTCCGACACAAGTACTTAACCAAAACTCTCAATCTCTACAACCAATTTCTGTATATATAAAATCAGATCTAAAGGCTTCGAAAACTATTTTTGATTATGTGTTTTCTGCAGTGACTAATATGGTATAAATCAAAGATTTTTTTTTTGTTTTTTTCATTGCATAAACTAGAATTGTTGTATTCTTAAAAGATGGTATTGTATTTTTTTATGATGTTTACAGGGGTCGATGAAGTAGACCAAAGAGTAGTATGCTACCGGAATTGCGATGTGGGTTGTGGCACTGACAATGCATGCCACGAACGTTGTAAGAAACGTTGTGGTTACCCACCCTCGATGAATGTTCATCAGTGATTTGATGAGATTCAAGAGTCCTAAACTTGTGGAACTTTTGTTGAATTATTACTCTTGTGATTGAACTGTTTATTTCTTGATATTTTTACTTGTTGGGATGTAATTGGCATGAAAAGATTTATATAACCATACTAAAATAAAACCTAAAGCCTAAAACTTAAGTATGTACTTGGTTAATTTTTGAAAAAGACGAAATATAGGAAAAGGAAAAAACTAACAGGCTAAAGCAAATGTTACGAATGACTGCCCAAATCCTATGAACTGTGTGACCCATAAATTTCTTAAAATTTGAGCATATTTTAGTTATATTTTCTTTAAATATTCATTATTGAACAAGCTAAATAATTTTTATTCAATAAATGAATAATTAAAAATATTATTTTCAGTTGAAAAAAAAATATTTTATTAAACATTTTGATACTAAAATATTTAAATTGGGGAGAACAAATTATTTCCATAATTTCGATATGTTCGATCTTCTCGATCTTCCAATACAATAAAGTTTGTCACAATTATAAATTTATTCCGACCAATACCAATACCAATGCTACATCATTCTTATCAGAAAAAACCACAAGAACAGCATTTGAATAGATTTTTATCTGTCTTATGGTTTAGAACCAAATCCCCCTTACAACGGTTCTCACACGAAGAGCAAACTGGGCGCGAGAGACGATTGTTAGGAAGCAAATCAAATGTTCCCTTACGAGCCATCACTAAACTGTATCCAGGTCTTGAGCATTTGTAAAACCATTTCTTTGAATTTAATTTCTTTTCGCATAGAGGTCATCGAATCTGTGTTTCACCAACGTGGGTAAAGTAGCGCATCTGAAGCATAAAGTGAAACCGCCACAATCATCTTTACCATTACGACGTAGATGTAAGGAGTGAAGCAAGCCACAGCCATCACACTTCTTTCGGCCATCATATGCGAAGGCGAACAACATCTTCATGTCTGAATGTATCAGATATTAATGAAGCACATCGCACATCAATTGAGCAGCCGAAGTCAGCACTATATGAGAAACCAATGCAATAACGTAGACAACCATCACAACGAAAATAGCTTTCATGGTACTCGGAAAATATATTTCTTCCATGCGGATTGGCACACAAAGTAAGTTTTTCTATACTTATCATGTTTCTTTTCTTTCGAAGGAGATTAGCGCATGCATTGTCAAGTATGAAATCACATTGTATACATACGTAGCACATTTCAGAGTTAAGAGGAAGGGTGCATGCATAGCAATATTTACCTTCTTCGAGTCCTAGTGAAATCTTCAGATAGTGTTCATGGCTAAAATGTTTTATTAGGTTTTGATCTATCACTTGGAATGGCTTACTTTCTTTTTCTTCATCTTCTTCGGCTATCCCTTCGAGTTCTCTCCCATCCCAAATATACCAACTTGTTGCACACTTTGAATAAACAACATAAGAGCAAACCAAGCATTATGTTAGATTGACTTGAATTGGAACATTAGATTTTATTTGATACTAATTCTGTTTGGATATTGGATTTTATATGTTAGATTGACTTGAATTGGAACATTAGATTACCTATTTGATACTAAAAGCTAGCGGAAAGTTTCACAGAAAAAAAAAGGAATTGCGTCCTTAATTCTTTACGCAGTGAATGACCCCAAATTAACAGATTCTTCTAATATGAATTAGCTCATATATTATTTTGGAGAAAAGGGAATGTATGTCTTACCTCTCAATGACGTTAATTACGGTATTATTCAATACATCTATAATGCAAATTGGTATCAGAGGAAACACTTTCTACTTTTCATTCCTTCAATTACTCTGAATCTGATCTCTGTTTAGCATATTTTAAAGGGGAAATTGTTTTTTATAACCTAAAAGTTGATTTTTTTCTCAATATATAGATTTTTTTATTGAATGTTTGACAAAATAAACTCAAAGGAATAGTGAAATTAAAGATCAGTTCTTTGTGACTAAACAAAAAAATTTCACAGTTATGATTTTATCCTTTGGGAAGTCTACGTATCGTAGACTTCTAAAGAAGTCTATTTTTGTAGACTAATAAAGAACTCTACTACATAATTAGTTTTTTCAAAAATATTTAGAAAATATAAAATAAATAAATTTCTAAAAATTTGGTAAACATAAGTAAGACATATATATTTGACATGTATAGAATACAAAATTTTATACAAATGATTCAATTTAAATGCAGAAAGAAAAATTAACTAGAAAACATACAACCCCTTAGAAGTCTACTACATAATTAAATCTTAAATTTTTTTTACTAAAATTATAAAAAATATTATGATACAAAAATTATAAACATAACCAAAACATAGACAATTAGCATCTATATTAAATAAAAATTTATGAAAATAAATCACTTTATAAGTTTCATAAGTATAAGGTTGAAATGGGTTAGAGTTTGAAGTTCAAAAGGGCTAGGGTTCGAGATGTAAAGTTTAGGGTATTGTTAGAATAAACCCAAATTCTATATGAATTATAGATTATGGTTTGGTTAATGATTTAGAGTCTATATCATTGTTATTTGAACTTTAAAATGTGAAAATGGTAAGAAAATTAATGTTTTGATACAAGTTTAATATCAAAAATATTTGATTTAGGGTTTAGAGTATACAAACGTGCGTAGTAGACTTCTCGGATAGACTTCTCCAGTAGTCTTAAAAAAAACATAACAGAAAATCAAAATTATTTAACAAATTGGGCGGAAATCAGAATAAATTGAGCGGGAATCAAAATAAAAAAAATATATACTGAAGTAGACTTTTCGAGTAGACTTCTTAACCGAAATTTTTCCTACATATATAAGGAGATTAACCTAATTGGGTTAAAAATAAAGTTTTTCTCTCCCTCTAAAAAATGTTTCTCTCTCCTCTACCTTCTCTCTGGCCATGAATCTCTTCTCCTTCCTCTCTTGCCATCAAACTCATCTCTATCCTCCATCCTCTCTATCTCAATTATGGTGATGGTAAGCAAATCTGAAATTTTGTGTTTTTTTGTTGTTTGTGTTCATATTGTATATTTGGGTTTATTATTACATATTTGAGCTTCTTGTTGTAGATCTGAGTTTATTCTTGCAAATATGCGCTTACTGTTGTATAAATTTTGTAAAATTTGTTGCAGACCTGATTTTTTTTTTGTTGCAGATCTGATTTTGTTTATTTTGTTGCATATCTGAATTTTGTTTATTTTGTTGCAGATCTAGAGTTTTTTTGTTGCATAGGTGATTTTTTTTTTTTTTTGCAGATATGATATTTGTAAATATAGCAGATTATGTTGAAATATGAATTTTAACATTTTTTTTCTTATTGTGCAGACCTGAGCTTATTTATTTCTCGTTTGGTTTTGTTGGAAGCAGACTTCAGCCACAGACTTTTCGCGTAGACTTCTCGAGCGGACTTCAGTCACATACATTTATTTCACACATTTTGTTTTTATATGCCAATTTTAAGATTTATAATTAGTGATCTTTAAATGTTTGTTTATTTAGAAAGTCTAATTTATATGTAAAGTTGGATTGCAATGAATGTTATTTCTTATATTTTTAAATGATGTGTGTTTTATCATATTAGGATTTCATATGCAGACTTCTTGGACAGACTTTATATGTGACTTTTCGATTAGACTTCTCTAGTAGACTTCGCAAGTATACTTATATTACATAACATATGGTCTTCACCAAACTTCTTTCTTGACATCTTACTTAGTCATCACCATCTTTGAACCTCTAATAACACAAGAAAATTAATTCAATTTTAACTATACGAAAAACATGTAAAACTCATAACAAAAAAAAACATGTAAAACTACTTAGAAGTACCACAACTAGTCTTTCTTCACACATTCTCTATAAACAGTGGGTATGTGAACCATTATCTGTAAGAAAGTAAAATTCAAACCACATTATAAATCATTGTCGAAAAAGTAGACTGCAAACGAAGTCTACTATGTAGACTTCAAATGAAGTATGCACACTCGTAAGTTAAATACCAAATAAAAGAAGAAAACTAATTAAAGCTAAACTATAGTAAAAAAAATAAAAATTTCAAGTTCATACATAAGCAAAAACAATAAATATCACACTTAGAAGTCAAATAATAAATTTTATTTATTACAAATATCTGATCAATTAAATTTATAAAAAATTAATGTCCGAGACTCCAAACGAAGTCTACGGACTAATAAGCTAAATATTAAATAAAACAAAAAACTTGATTTCACCAAATATATATAATGTAAACATGTAAAACTGATACAAATGTAAGTACACTTACTAAAACAATCATAGAACCAAAAAAATCTTAAAAATTCATTGTAAATTTGTTAAAAACGTATTTATAAAATATAGTGAAATAATAGACTAACAACGAAGTTTGCAAAACTAGACTAGCAACGTAGTTTACATTTGTAGACTTCGTATGAAGTCTATATTTTAGGTTACTTTTACAATTACCAAAAGATGAGTAGAAAGTTAAGAGAAGAGAAAATGAGGTTACAAAACTACAAAATAGATTTTTGAAGCAATAAAAGCTTGAAATTGGTTGAAAATAGTGGTTAAACAAATTGATAGTGATGATATTTTCATAAATAAGTGAAGAAGATTGAAAATTTTTTAGTAAAATAGATTTCCGAAATAATAAAAAAAAAATAATTTTACTAAAAAAAAGTGGTTAATTTTAAAAATGATAAATGAAAAGTTATTTTAACAATTGACTGTGTGGTTTATTTTTGCAAGATCCCTGTTTTATAATGAAAAACAATCCACAAAACCACAAAAAAATAAAGACGAGACATAATATGACTCTTAACTCTGTTTCTCGTCAATCAAGTAGTAATAATACACTGCGAAATGAAAACAATCTAAAGGAAGTCCTTTTATCAGTACAAAAACCAAAACTTTTTTTCGTTTTAAGATGACACCAGCTTCAGAGTAAGTGGATATCTTTTAAATGGATTCTAATGTTTCGACAGAATTACTCTTCCATGGCTTCGTTTTGAACAGACTTGTTTTTGGAAACATCAACTTTGATCTTCTCTGCATCTTGTTGCAAAGATTCTGGTGCCCGGACCAAATGAATGTGCGTATCAAGCTCATTGGCTGCATCCTTGAAAACCTTCTTTTTGTTTGGCATCAACCTGAGAGTCCCACACAATATTAAAAAGACCAATCAAAAATCGAAAACACGAGTCCACTTCCAACGATCCGTTATGAGATTAGAGAAGAAGATATTTTACCTGTCAATGATATATTTTGCTTCTCTCTGGTTTCTGATCTTATCAATCTTCTTCATGGCATTGAGTGTGTTCTCAGTAACGTTCCTGTCATATCTCTCGGGCCTGTTTCTCTTCTTCTCAAACTCGAAAGTTTTATCCTTTGGTGGAAAGGAAACACACAAGAACAACAAGCGTGATGGTGAGCATCATCAAAAGTTCTTTTACTGAAAGCGTATATGATCAAAACTAGTTCAAGTACCTGAGTCATGTCCTTTCCGTGAGCCGCTCTGTATGCTTTAGTCCACTTCACTTTACGAGGGTTCCTCTTCATCTTAAAGTTCTTGTGGCATTTTGACCTACAGAACCTGAAAATCTGCAAGAGGAGAAGAATGTTTATTGCTTATTAAAGAAATCACACACAATATGCATAAGAAACTAAACTAAAGAGAGTGTTTTTTCTGAGCAAATAGACGAATTAGCTGTTGATTTAAGCTAGAGAACCATAAATGAGACGAGCAACGAGACATTCACATATATAGAATCAAAAGAAACGTTGATGAACAGAGCTTATTTGTGAGTCCAAAAGGTTAAACCACAATACTTTTTTTTTTCTTTCTAAAAAGATAGAAACTAATGTGATTCTCAAGCAAAACTATTTCTAGTCAATTCAAGATTAGAGCCATAATTATTGAGTTACCTTTGCATCGTTACGGACAAACTGAATACCATGTCCAGGATATACAGTGGAAGAGCAAAACCAACACTTGACCAATCTCATTTTGCCTCCTCCTTAGAATCCCTACAAGAACATAAAAAGGAGCTTGATTCAAGAAAGAAACTATCCCCAACTGAAACTAAACCCAAAAAAATTGACCATAAACACACAACAATGAAGCTATTTAACCCATAAGCGATACGAACCAGACAAAGAAAAGTTTCAGCTTTTATCTAATTATATGCGAAAAGTCTCAATATATCAGTCCAAATTCGTCAGAAAGTGTAAGGAGGAAGACATTAAAGATCATTTTATCATGAAAATCTCAACAATAACCCCAAAACAAAAGTAGAAAAACTCAGATTTCAACAAAGTCATAACGAAACCAATCGAACGAGGTTGAGAAAAGGAGAAAGAAAAGATAGAAAGAAGATTTGAGATTTTTGCGGACAAACCTGCGGGTGATTCTACTAAGACCGGCGAGAGCAATTTCAAGAAAATTAGGGTTCTGCTTAGAAACTCCCGAAAAAAGGAGAGTTGTAATGAGAAGAGAGACGAAGCGAGGTTAGTATCTCTAGGGTTTATCTAAAATCTACCCGCTTTAATTGTGGCCCATGATTTAAGGTCCATAGCCCAACAAGCCAACCATTTCTCAAATATGTTGGCCCATGACTTTTATTACTCTAAAAGAAAAAAAAATGAAAAAGAAAAAGGAAAATTATTCAACCGACTCTACTACTAACCCAATCCTAAAAAGGAACATGATTAAGATTTATTGTCAGGTGATTGGTCTGCACATAAGTACAGGAATGAAAATTTTGGATAAAAAAATAAATAATAATAATAATATATATTATTTATAATAAATAAGTGATTAACCTATTGAATAATATATTTGTAAAATATTTTAGTTTGTAAAAAAAAAATTAATAGGTCTGAAAAATTATTAATAGCAAAAAATAAAATTTACACAAAACTTAAAATATTAAAAAAATATTAAATTAAATAAAATGATTTTTCTTTATTTTTGTTTTCGATTTTTTATTTATTTTTTATAGTTTTTCATTTCATTTTGTTATTTTTCGTCATAATTTTGATTCATAATTTTTGCTATGTAATTGAAATACATTCAGTCATTCATATATAATATAAATTTTTGTTCTTTATTTATAATGAAATATAATTAGATGATAATAAAAATGAAGAAATTCTCCTTCTAAAAATTTGATTCTGCAAATTTCTTACAAACACTTGTACTTGTAAATATTTTATTAAAAATTTACTTAAATAAGATTCAAAATACTTTCCATCAAAAACTTATTTTGCAATTTTTTTGCCAAAACTATGAATAAGTAACTCTCCCACCTAAAAAAATTACATCAAAATTATGATCCAAAAATATTTTATCAAAGTTTTGATTTTTTAATTTCCAGCCAAAAAGTGAATCCATATAAAAAACTTTCGCCAAAAAATTACATTAAAAATGTGATTCCAAACACTATCAGTCAAAATTTTGATTTCATGAATTTCCTGCCAAATAAGTGAAACCGTAAATCTTTCGCCAAAAAAACTTACTTAAAAATAATTTTAAAAAACTTATGTGAAAACCAGATTAAATAAATATATTGTTTGTTTATTCTGTTGAAAGAAATACGTTATTTGTTTATTCTGTTGAACAACAATATATTTTTTAGGAGATCAAAATATATTCTAATAAATATTTTATCTGCAATTCTCACAACAATCAAAAATTGTAGTTTTTAAAAATAAAAATCGTATTACTATAATATATAGTATGTGCATGTGATCAATATATAATTTTTATATAATTTGACGTGAACGCATTTGTGTATGTAATCAAAAAATATAACATATATTTTTGAACACATATGTGCATGTGATCAAGATATAATATTATTGAAGATGTATTCAATTTATGTTGCTCTGAAAAAATATAACATATATTTTTGAACAAGTCTATGCATGAAATCAAGATATAATGCTACACTTAAATAAGGTTTACAGTTTATAACTATTAAAAATGATCATTAGTTTTTTTTAATAGAAATATGATAATTATTTAAACTAAAAGAAATTAAACACAAAACATTTTTTTGCTATGTCATAATTCACATGTGTTAGCAAATGTCATGTCGCAACTACATATCATTTCCATGTTACATTTAATTAGGTTAGATAGATAATTTTAACCAATCAAATTAAAATAAATCATAAGTTTTAGAATCCATTGACATTCATCTCTTCTCTATCAATCCATCTTCATAATCTCACAATTTGACATTCATCAAAGTTTAATAGGTATTTCTTTTTGTTTCTATTTTGGTTGATTATGTTTAATATAAAATTATGTACAATTGGTAAGCTAAAATCAGAATAACAAATTTTGGTTTTGTAGATTTATTTGTTTAAAATTTTCATCATGACGAAAGGAGAAGAAAATTATAGCGAACATTATCATGATCTACCCATAAAGATGCAAGTACTTTCTTTAACCATCACAATTTTGGCAAATTTATAATACATAAACGAAATTCTGCAATTTTATAGATTATCTGGTAGACATGCTGATCACTAATTTGGTAAATTTCAAAATTTGTTGTAGACTCAGCGAATTGGTGTGTTTACTAGTTTATTGTTATGATTTAAGTTTTTAAAGTTTTGGAGTATTAATAGACTCTAATTTTAGTTTGCTAGTCTGCAAATTTTTTGGTAGACTTTTCAAATTTCTGGTAGATAGAACGAAAGTTTTCCAAATATTTTGTCAGACTTCAATTTTAGTATATTAGTCTACAATTTTTTTTGTAGACTCTTCAATTTTTGGCAGATGGAACGGAAATCTTCAAAACATTTCGGCAGACTTTAATTTCAGAATGTTAGTCTACCATTATTGGTAGACTCTTCAAGTTTTTGGTAGACGAAACGGTAGTCTTCCAAACATTTCGGCAGATTTTAATTTCAGAATGTTAGTTTACTATTTTTTGGTAGACTCTTCAAGTTTTTGGAAGACGGATTAGTCTACCATTTTTTGGTAGACTCTTCAAGTTTTTGGCAGACACAACAGAAGTCTTCCAAATATTTTGGCAGATTTTAATTTCAGTCTACTAGTCTACCATTTTTTGGCAGACTCTTCGAATTTTTGACAGATGTAACAGAAGTCTTCCAAATATTTTGGCAGACTTTAATTTCAGTCTACTAGTCTACCATTTTATCGGTAGAGTTTTCGAATTTTTGGCAGACACAATGGAAGTCTTCCAAATAAATTGGTAGACTTTAATTTTAGAATGTTAGTCTACAATTTTTTGGTAGGCTCTTCCAGTTTTTGGCAGGCGTAACAGAAGTCTTCTAAATATTTAGACAGACTCTAATTTCACTCTACTAGTCTACCATTTTTTTTGACAGAGTCTTCGAATTTTTGGCAGACGGAGCGAAAGTCTTTCAAACATTTCGGCAGACTATAATTTCAGTATGTTAGTTTACCATTTTTTTGGTAGATTCTTCAAGTTTTTGGTAGACGTAACAGAAGTCTTCCAAATATTTTGGCAGACTTTAATTTCAGTGAACTAGTCTACCATTTTATCAGCAGATTTTTCAAGTTTTTGTTAGACGCAACAGAAGTCTTCTAAATAAATTGACAGAGTCTACTAGTCTACCATTTTATCAGCAGATTTTTTGAATTTTTGGCAGACGCAATGGAAATCTTCCAAATAAATTGGCAGACTTCAATTTTAGAATTTTTTGGTAGACTCTTCCAGTTTATGGCAGACGTAATGGAAGTCTTTTAAATATTTAGGGAGACTCTAATTTCAGTCTACTAGTCTACTATTTTTTTGGCAGACTATTCGGATTTTTAATAGACGCAATATAAGTGTATCAAATATTTAGGCAGACTCTAATTTCAGTCTTCTAGCTAAATTTTATATTTATGTGTACTGAAATCTAAATTTTAATTTTTGTTTTCCATGGTATGCTTATCTATTATTTTTTGTAGAAGACAGATGAAGAAGAAGAAAAAAGTGGTACCATTGATGAATATGGTAAAAATGATGAAAAAAGTGGTACAATAGATGAATGTAGTGAAGATGAAGAAAAAAGCGGTACCATTGATTGATGTGACGAAGATGAGGCAGAAAGTAGTATTGCATTTGGGTTTCATAAAGATGACATACATAATCTTACTTCTGTCAAGAGTGGAGAAGATGAAAAAGAAAATGGTTATGTGGATGGAAGTTATGGATCTTCTTCAGATATATCTATCCATGGAGAGTTTGAAGAGCCATTAACTGATAGCCTAGAAATTTCAAAAACTACTATGCAGACCTTGGAGAGTATTAGTGTTGGGCAATTATATAGCAGCAAGACAGAGTTACAGCATAAGTTGCAGCTGGTCACATTTTACAGAATTTTGATTTTGTAACTTACAAGTCGACAAAAGATCTGCTAGTGCTCAAGTGTTATATTGCTGGTTGTTCATGGAAGATTCGTGCATCAGCATTCAAATCAACCAGTGAGTTTAAAGTACGAAAGTACATAGATATTCACACATGTCCAGTTACTCAGAGGAGTTCTCGTCATCGTCAAGCTACGTCAACATGTATTGGAGAGTTATATTTAGAAAAATTTCATAAAGTTGCTGTGGGGATTAGACCTATGCACATCATGGATGTCATGAAGGCTATGTATGGTATTGATATTGATTATTTGAAGGCATACAAAGCGCTAGTGCATGCATGTGAATTGGTACGAGGGACATGAGATAGTGAGTATGAGGATTTGCCTTCGTATTTGCATAGCCTTGAAGCAACTAATCCAGATACAATTACTAGACTTGAATGTAATGAAGAAGACACGTTCAGATACTTGTTCATTACATTTGGTGCATGTATTAGTGGCTTTCGATTTATAAGAAATGTGGTTGTGGTGGATATAACTCATTTAAAAGAAAAGTTTAAAGGTGTTTTGCTTGTTGCTGTTGGTTAGGATGGAAACCGTAAAATATTCCCTTTAGCTTTTGGAATTGTAGACTCTAAGAATGCTGCTTCTTGGGAATGGTTTCTTACTCAACTGCGTATGGTTTGTGTCGATCAGGAAGACTTGGTGATAATTTCTGATAGACATAAATCCAATCAAAAATGTATCAGAAAAGTGTTTCCATTAGCACACCGAGGAATATGCACATATCATCTACATCAGAATCTCATCAAAAAATTCAAAGAGGGTAGTACTCTAAGCTTGGTGAATAAGGCATACACTGTCTATAGGGTTTCTGAGTTCACAACGCGTATTGAAGAGATTCGAAACCAAAACCCTAGGATTGCGAGATGTTTGGAGAAAGCTGATATTCGGTTGTGGTCTCGAGCAAATTTTCCTGGTCATAGGTATGGCATAATGACGAGCAACATTGCTGAATCCTTAAATAATGTTCTTGTCCATGCTTGTGGGTATCCTATAGCTTGTTTTCTAGAAGAGCTACGACAAGTGATTTCTAGGTGGTTTATGAAATGTTGTGAATACACTATGTCACTACAAACATTATTTACACCTAAAGTCGAAGGAACATTGACTTATCGAAACAATGTTGGCAATACTCTTACAGTCCAACACATATATGGGCATCGTAGCTATGTCATTGGTGGCAAGATTCCTTGTGTTGTTGATATACAACATGTACAGCATCAAATATTTTCTTTATTTATTTTTCAAATCATAGTTATTATACAAATATGTTTTTAATGTTATACATTTTTTTTAACAGGGGACTTGTACTTGTCATGTTTACGATCTTGACGGGATACCTTGTCAACATGCTCTTGCTGCCGTTGGAAAACGACAAAATCTACATTTTGAGAATCTGGTATCTCCTTACCACTCAAAGATTAATTGGTACAATGCTTATGCAGATTCGGTCAATCCAGGAAGTGTGGAACCTCCTATAGATGGGCCAACTAAAAAATGTCTTCCACCATTGCAAAATCGTGATGCTGGTAGACCAAATAAATCAAGGTATCTTTCTGCACTCGAAAAAGCAATGGGCAATCAACCACCAAACAAAAAGATAAGAAAAGAGCAAATGTTTGATGAACAACCAACTCAAAGTCCCGCAAGAAGTACACATGTTCACAATGCAAAAAACCAGACATAATCGCTCCAGAAGCAAAGATGTTTCATAAACAATTTGTGTTCGTTGCATTTCTGAATGCTATTTAGACTTTTCTTTTATTTGTGCTCTACAACATTGCATTTGCTTTTGATCCCTCTTATTCTTTCATATCTTAATCGATATAACAGATTTTTAAGCAACCAGAATTGCAGGTTTATGTTTTAAAAAGTTGCAGTTTAAACACAACTAAAAACTCAGAAACGCAAGTTGCAGGTTTTTTTAGATTTGCAGATTTCTCTTTTAAAAAGTTGCAGGTTTTTAAAACTTACAGGTTTGTCCTAAGACTGCATGTTTTTAACTCACACCTCATTACTGTGAAGTTACACCACGAGGCAAGATAAGAAACCCGAGGAATGGAAAGAGAGAGAGTCTTGTAAAGAGGAAAGAGCAAGACAGCTCAATGGTGGAACTGAAGAGGGAACAGAGCATGAGAAAGTAACATGAAGATTGTTTGATATATGTATAACCAAGAAGAACAAAACTTTAATAAAATGCAAAACCTTCATAGTTAAAAAATTATAATCTTACAAATTGCTAATAAGAAGATCAAAACTTTAATAGGGATGTACTAAATCATGATCATTTGTTCCAAATGGGAACGGACTAGAGACAGTTTTCCCATCTTGTTCTGTCTCGTTGAATATCTCCGCTGCAAGTTTTTCTCTAACTATTTTTATGTTTGTAAACTCAGCACCTAATGCATGGCATTCAATAAATTTTACGGCATATATTCCACAATCACCTGATTTCAGCTGTTGGGGAATCTTTTGTCGTGGTCTTCGATTCTTGTATTGTTGTACTTTCATTTTCCTCCTTTCCAATGGTGGTGCTACTGCTCGAAGTAAATGGGTTAGCATATGAGCTATTGGATTTACGGCTTTGACAATCTCTTTGTTGGTACTTCCTTTAAGACCACAATCAAAAACATCAATAGAGCGATTAGGGATAGAAATGTATGTAGCACACTACTAGCATAAATGGTTGTCTTTGACATGTAAAACGCCATAAATTTCTTCAACATCCGTCCTCCACTTTTTCCATGTCGATGCAAATGCGGGTAGCACACTGCTAGCATAATCAAATGCTCCATTTGGGAAAATAGGTAGTGCTTCACTATTTAGAAATTTTTAATAACTTTGAGACCAAATTGTGGTAAAATAAACATCTGTAAAAGCAATCCTCCCACTTCTGAAAGCTTTTTGATTCTTCAAAAATCTTAAACGTAGCAATTTCATAGCATTATTGATATGCTGTCACAAAAAAAAACCATATCGTAGAACAAAAAAATCTGCTGTCACAAAAATCTAAAACGTAGTAAATTCATAGCACTATTTATACTATTTTAGCATACATTCAGCACTAATTTTCGGTTCTTAAGCATGTATTTTTACATGTTCATGTCCCAATTGCACCCATTTAGCATTCAGAGTATAGTTAGGAGATGCATTGCATATTATGTGCATTTCGATCACTTGGCAAGTGCATTGAGGGAGTCCAAGGACCAAGGGAAGAGCTGGAAGTCATTAGGTGAGGAAACCAAGGCGAGAAGGCTTCATAACGAGCAGGGTATCGGCTTAGCAAATCGATACACATCCTACAGAGCAATATATCAACATCACACGTCGATACATGCTGAGGAGCTATACCGATCAACACAACGAGGTCCCGAAGTCGATACAAGGAGACAGGACATGCGAAGAGTATCAAGCCACTCTAGCCGATACACCACCTTCAAAGCGTCTGTACCGATCAGTGTATCGACATAGGAGCATCTCGATACACAAGCCAAGAAGTGTATCGATCAGAGTATCGACGTTGGAGCTCGATAAGCCTTAACTAAAGAGCAATTGTATCGAGTAGCATACCAGGGAGATCAACCGAAATGCTTTAGCCAGAGGCGACTGTATCGATCAAGATATCGACCAGACTTGATCGATACAACCTTCTGCCAACCAATATCGACCAGCGTATCAATGTAGCAAGTCGATATCAAGCGTCCGAACCAGCTGCTTTCTGGTTTATTTCCGGTTTACTAAGGGCTTTTCCTAAAAAACTATATATAGGCTGTGACCCAAAACATTGGGGGATCTTTTTTCATCCTTTATCCTTTAGATAATAGCTTTCTCCCTTGTATTTCTCTTAGTTTTTCTTGTAATCTCTTGTTAAATCCTGTTCTTGCAATCAAAAGTTGGTGTTTATCTCCTTTCTAATTAATGATATGTCATTCTCCTTTGCTTTGGCTATGATTAAGGTCATGATTAGTGAGTAGTTATCTTAGGGTTTTGAGATGGGATAGAGATAGGGAGATCTAAGGCTATATTAGTGATTGCTTAGTGCTTAATTTCATCGTTCCTTCTTATTGATTGCGTTTAGCGCTAGATTAGCCCTTGCTAATTTGATCTAGATCTTAGGGTTCTATTATGCCTGATAAGTGTTTGATGAAATTCCTGAATGAGTCAAGTAAGAGATTTTTTTATCTTAGCATAAGGAATTAGGTGTCTAAGGAGTAGATTGGCAATATAGAATTGGATTAGTTGCTTATAATGCTTATTGATCATGTGTTTTAGTAAATGAATTTGTCTTGAATATGTGCTTAACAAAGTGGTTAGTGTCAAGGAAGTGAGCTAGCTATAGCTGTTAATTTTATGCCTACGAATAGCATTGTTTGAAATGATTTGAAGCATCACTAGTCAAGCTAAAAGTCTCCCTAGATCAATTACCATATCTCAAACCTACTAGTCTTCAATTGTTTGAATTCGAACCTACCTTAGTTTCTCTGTTTATTTTACTTACTCTTGCTTATTTGAAGTCTCTTTTAGCTGTTAGATTTATAGTTTCAATCATCCAATCATGGTTTCTTGAATTAGATAGTCTATTGCATTCTTAGTGTCTTACCTTTCCATGATGGATTGATACTTGCATACTACAATGATATGAGTATATGTAGGATTTAAAGTAGATTAAACTCCTACATCAGTTGTTGAGCTGTGTCTCATGGTCTCGTCTTCTAGGGAGATGAGCGATGTATAATCCTTAGCCAGTAATGCACATGTGCTCTGAAATCATGAAGAACCGTAGGCCTGGGCATTCGGGTACCTGATCGGATTCGGGTCTGGTTTATTCGGGTTTTGGTTATTTTGGTTTTGGACTATGAATCCCATTTGGGTATTTTAATTTTTTTGGTCGGATTCGGTTCGGTTCTGTATCACTGTTTAAAAACTGGATTTTATCCAAAACCGATCGGGTCTGAGTCGGGTTCGGTTAATATACCCAAAAGTACTCGAACTTTGAATTTGGTTCAAGTCTTTACGAGTATAAATAACCGATTAAGCCAAACAATCTAAAATGTTTTATATTGAATACTCGAAGCTGCATATTATTCAAAAACTGAAACGAGCAAACAAACAAGACATAAAGAATAGAAGAGGTTCAAACAAGACATAAGAAAAATTTCAAACTCCAAAATAACATTTATAATATGTTTCAACATTCAAACATCAAAGACAAAGTCTTAAGAAATACCAAAACACCAAAGTTTGTTTTTCAACATCTAAAGAGGTAAATAAGAAATGATAAACTAGAGTCAAGGAAGCAAATGACATGAATCTGATCGAACAGTATCAAAGAGTCAAGGAATGCTGAGTGCAAAACTGCAGAGAACTCCAAAGCAGAATATGTCAATCTCCATGTTCCTGTGACATTAAATCCAAATCAAAACAAAACTTAGAAGCATAAAACCACAATAGCTCAAATAAAGTTACTACTTACTACTACTAAGTTAGTATGTTACCCTATAGCCGAGTTGGAGAATGCTTCACTCTTCTTCTTGTGGCATTGCTTGAGTATCAAACTCTGAAAAATCAATTAGGACAAACAAAGTGTTAAGATTCATAGTTAAAACAATGAAGGTGAATTTAAATCGAATAGAGAAATATAACTTACCTCTCTTAAGCTTATCCTCGTATTCAACTTCTTCTTGTAGTTGTTCCATTGTTGTTGGAACTCTTGCTTCATTAAACCAAATTTCTGACTTCACACTGCTTTGTACACATCAAAACTTCAATTGTATAGTGAATAAGAAAACCCCTACAAGGAGTTACAATGCAACCACTAGTGCTAAAATCACTTTCAGATTCAGCTGAAGACACTTGCATTGCAAGTATATCTTGAGCGATTTCAGATAAAACAGGGAACTTAGTGGTGTTAACTTTCTAGTAAGATAAAACGTCATACTCTGTCCCACTCATAACTGTTGGTATCTCAACAGGTTCCTTGAGATATTTATCCAATTCATCTCTAGTGTCTTTGACTCCCAATTCATTCACACTTTCCTTGTACATAAAATCCATCCGCTTATATCCGAAATCATCATCCACCAACTGCATTGCTTCTTGCGACTGTGCACTCATCGAGGATGTCTGCGTAGATTGAGACTATTGCTGAATTGGCTGATTGTGCTGAAGTGTATACTCATCAAACAAGTCACGAAGAAAATCAAGGACAGATTTACTAATTTCTTTAGCATCAAGCAATTCTTCCCCATATAACTTCTTGAAACACATATTAGCAAAGTCCATCTTTTTTCTAGGAACAAAAACCATAGCTGCAATCAACATCTTGTTGATCCTCTTCATTCCATCCCAATACTTGTCGAATTTCTTCAACATGTCAGCAGCCTTTGCCTTCAACTCTGAATCATAGTTGTTACTTAGTTAAATAAGGTTTCTCTCTATGGTGACTATCGCACCATAACATTTATATGCATTCAGAGACTTAGAAGCTGACATAACCAAGGTGGAGTTGTAAAATATGACCAAGAACTTAGCTAACCTCTCAACAGCATTCCAATCCCTTCTTGTTGGAGGTCTAATCCGTTTGACACCATTCTCATACTCTAAGAAGTAATCATTGTATAACTTATCTTCAGCCTCCATCTTGGCAAATGCTAATCTAAAGTTTATTGCCTTTGTCAACATGTTGAATGTAGAATTCCATCGTGTTTTGACATCTAATGGCAAACTACCTCGTGTTATCCTTCCTGAATCAACCTTCAACTCAAAAGACTTCAATCTATTTAGATATAACAAACAAAATCGAATTATGTATGGCATTCACACTCTCATCTACTTCGGCTAAACCTTCCTTCACAATCAAGTTTATTATATGCACACAACATCTAACATGCATAAAAATCCCATCCAACACAAGAGCCTCTGGAGATAGCTTTGAAAACTGACTTTCAATCTTCCTTAAAGCTGAAGTATTGGCAGTTGCATTATCAACAGTTATGCAGAATATCTTCTCTAAACCCTAATCTGCTAAACATTCTAAGAGAACATCTTAAATTGTCTGACCTTTGTGATCCGTTACATACTTGAACCCGATGATCAGCTTCTTTAACCTCCATTCTGCATCGATAAAATGCAATGTGATCATCATATAAC